AGAATGAATAAATGGAAAGAGTTGGAATGGGCTGGGATGTAGTGGGATGGGATGGACTATCCAGTGAGACAGATGGTCCTTGAAAGAAATGAAAGAATGAATGAATGAATGGAATGGAATGATTTGGAATGAGTTCTACAAAGAAATAAAAGGAATAAGAAAGAATGCAATGAATGAAAGAAATGAAAGAAAGAACGAATGAATGGAATGAGTTGAGATGAGATAATAAATCAAGTGATCAACAATATATTCAAAACCATCTACAATTTTTCTATAAATCATGAAAAAAAGGAAAGAATGAGTGAATAAATGAATGGAATGAGTTGGGATAAGATAAATGGACTAATTCTTTAAGCCATTTCCATAAAGTGGCTCTTCAACTGCAAAAAGAAATCTTGCAGATCAAAGCTATACTATCCTAACCTTTTCCAGTACCCACACATTTGATGACAGAACAGTTGGTTGCACCAAGTGCTACCACTTCAAAGGTATCAGTAGACTGGAGATTGGGAATATTGGGGTTAAAAGCAACCTGCAATAAATCAATAAGAAATGACTTGGTTTTTCCAGTACTTGTATTCTCATTAGGGAATACAAATTTAAATAGGAAAGAAAATTAGCAAAGCATCATGGTAGTGGGAGTTAATGACGTCATCATGCAAACATCCTATTGAAATATAAGACTATAATCTGTACCTTTATCCTAGCAGTGCTGTTAGGAGCCACAATGCCATGATATTGGGAGCAAAAAAATACTGTATCGATGTTGGATGATGAAGATGGCTGAAGGATTTGGAAAGGTGCATTGACCTATTGCAAAATCAGAGATAGATCAATAAAATTGTTTTTTATAACAATGTCAGTGGGTGTCCGAGTAAAAGTCAGTCCGTCAGTGGGTGACAGTCAGTCAGTCAGTGGGAGAGTCAGTCAGTCAGTGGGAGACAGTCAGTGGGAGACAGTCAGTGGGAGACAGTCAGTCAGTGAGTAGAAGTCAGTCTGTCAGTCGACAGTCAGTGGGAGACAGTCAGTGGGAGACAGTCAGTCAGTGAGTAGAAGTCAGTCTGTCAGTCAGTGGGTGACAGTCAGTCAGTTGGTCAGATAAAAAAATTATCAGGGTTCATATTTTCTTACAGGAGAAAAGTTGTGAAGCTCAATCCATTTTTCATCAGTTGTCTGGACAGGAACCTCTCCAAAGTCTACTAGCACCTCATGACCATTCATGCTAACCGTTGATCTTTTTTTCCCCATTGTGCTGGCAACAAGGTGTGGAAATTTACCTATAATTCAATGAAAGTTGTTACAAATTGTCACCTCCTCCTTTATCCTCTTTCTAATATAATTCAGACTTATTGAGTCTTCTTCGTATTAATGAATCTTCTCCAGTTTTACTGGTGAACAAGAAATAATACTCAAATGAATAATAAATAAACCAAAATGGAAAACAGACTTTAGGGAATGATAGGCCCGTTGCAGCTCAGTAATCACATGCTGCTTAATTTACTGAGAGCAAACGAATGAAAATTTTGATTCCCATGGGTGAAATTTAATGGAGAGCAAACACACTTCCGGCAACCTATTTTGAGAGATTCCTTAATAAAACTGCATTTTGTAGCACAATGGTTATACATCGTTTCATTCAGTTCTTTACAAGTAGCTAAAAAAAATCACCAATTTAAAATAAGAACAAAAATTTTGCTCTCCGGTACAGACACGGCTGAATGTTATGGTGATTATTATTATGATATTAATCTTTAATCATCATATTAATAATACTTACCAATGCCTTCAATTTTCATGGACTTTGATTCTGTGTTTTCAGGCTCGTGTGAATATTTGCAAATAGCTACTGCTTCATAAACTAATGCAGCCTAGAAAGAAAAGACACAATTTAACTTGAATACTTTATTAAGTAAACTAGTGTATAATGTTAATTTATACTCTGACTATTCTTTTCTGCATCTTTGTGCATTTCCAGCATTCGTCTAATATACGTTAGTAACATAATTATATGTATTATAGTACACTCAACAAAATTACTCGACTCTGATTGGTCGAGAGGAGTACAATTATAGCGTTAATTGTACTCTGTAGGAGTACCGAATTAAGTCGCTATGGCAACACRGCCAAAACAATGTCAAAACAATTATTTTCTATCATTTTGTACTTAAAAAACATATAAATAAAATTTTAAAGCCGTAAGAACTAATCTTTTTTATGCATTTCAGTTGCGTGATGGACTGAAAATCGGCCGCCAAATAGACAAAGACGAATGGCGTCGCTTCGCATTTTTTACTGAAATTTTGTTGAGTGAACTATAAACAAAAAATCGCACGATCTTCTCGTACAATTTGGAATTAATAGACACTCGTAATGTTTAATTTGTCTTGTCTATTAATTTCCAAATTGTACTCAAGATCGTGCGATTTCCTATACTAATACAAATCCTTACGTACCTTTGGCGTAAATGTAGCCTTGATAAAACAAGCAGTTTTAGGAGCAAGTGTACCACTTGATGGTACAAGAGTAAACGGCTCAGATAATTCCCAGYGGAATGATGTCATCAGTTCACTGAAATTTGAATGCCAACAATTTTTAGAACTTTTAGAATGCCAACAAATTTATTTTTGCAGAAGAAGGGGTGAAAACTTTTGAAGCAGAGACTACATCACATTTATGCAATATGTGCAAGTGCTAAGGTCTCGCAAAGTACTGGTACACTGTTGTTGTTGATGATAATAATGGTACTTCTGAAATTCTGTTTGCTATTAGTGCAACTGTTTGTAGGCAATATTGTTTATATTTCTCATTCTTTTACCTTGTATTTTTCACTTCAAAGGTGACCTCGATGCTGTCTTTAACAGCACACATACCAAAATTTAATGATTCTGGAATACTGACATCAGGTTTAGGAAGAACTGCTTTCATGGGAATGGAAAATATCCCATTCTATAAGAGAAAAAAATGGTTAGAAATTAAATTATTTTTTTCGATAATTTTTAAAATGAATATACAGCTGTAATGCTTAAAACTCACATTAGTTTCAAATTCAATTTGGTCTTCATATTGGTCCTACATTGTTTAAAAAAAGGAAATGATCATTAAACAAGGATAAATCTGGCAATAAAAGCAGGGGTGGCATAGTGGTGAGAGCACTTGCCTCTCACCAGTGCGACCCAGGTTCAAGTCCCGCTGAGCTCAGTGTCATATGTGAGTAGAGTTGCTTGTTGATTCTCTCCTGTGCTTTAAAAATTCTCCGGGTTCACCTGCTTTCCTCCCTCCACAAAAATCAACATCTTAATTCCAATTGGAATTACAGTGGAGGAAGAGCCATTCTGTGGAATCCACTATTAATCCCATTATTATTATTATATTATTAATAATGCTGTTAATAAAGCTTGACATACCTTTTCAAGTGGTCTAAAGGTCACTGGGAGATTAAAACTTGTCCCAGAACTTAGAACGATGGGTTTTGGATACAGAGTGGTAAAAAATCTTGTAGATGGACCCCTAGAAAGTAGGAACAAACACTACATTTTTACTCTCTCTTGCTTTAGGTTTGTTTCATTGAATTATGACCTGTTTTTAAAGACTGGATTTCACTAGTGGTGCAAGCATAAATGCAAGTCCATAAGCACAAGGAAATGAGAGATTTTGATCCCTGTAATTGTTCTTGCATTGAGCCTGTTTTCACACTGAAATACTAACACTAATGCTTGCATTTGTGTTTGCACTACCAGTGTGAAGCATAGGTAAATCTTACGACGGGCATCTTCTGCTTCCCTTTACCACCATAGTCTACCCTATGTTGATAGTGTTGTGATCATCTAATCACAATTCTAGGGTACTATTCACAGATAGTCTCCTTGATTTTCAAAGCACTTGTGCTGAACTTTGAGATTCAAGACTTAAATCAAGTTTATTATTGTTATTACTTATTATTATTATTATTGCAGTACTAAAACGGATCTAGATGCAAAAAATCTATGAACTGTATAGGGTGCACAGCGTAACCTATACAGTCTAAACAAAACTAACTACAATATATTGAAATAGATGTCATTGTCATTGAATCATTGTCGGGGAAAAAATGTATCACAATACTTACAATAAATTTCTAGCAATAAAAAAAACCCTCCATATTCTATAATTCTGAAAGAGTATACTAAGATGTATTTTTAAAGTCTATTATCAATCATCATCATCATCATCATTACTATCATTGCCATAAGTTTTCCTCAGAGCCTTGCAAAAACACAACACATGGATTTACAATGTTTACCTGTATTTTAGCTTCTGTGTTTTGATCTGTACATTCTTAAGAGTAATATTCTTGGTATATTCACCCCCTGGCTCCCATCCTTGCCAAGTGACGCTATCATTCACTTCAATACCAAGTTTCTTGGAAGCGTAGAATCCCTTTCCTCGGGACGTCATTACTTCTGTCATGTTGTAGGTATGAGGTTACGTACTGGAATTTAATTTGTAAAAAGTACATTCAACAAGGGACAAATACGCACTTATTTTGGTACTTTATGATTCATATGGTATATAGAATATATAGTTTTCTCTAAAATGCTTTGAAATATTATGATTGAAGTTATGTGTTGAGAGAGACCTTGTACACAATCCAAATAAGCTTTGGGCTAGAAGATGGCCTACGTTCAATAATTGTTGAAAGCACACAAAAAATTAAAGCAAAATCAAGAGCTACCTGTAAATATTTTGGCCTGTGAGTTTCTTTTTACATTGCTCTCCCTTTATAATGTATTATATTCTTGTCTTTTCCCAGTTAAAGCTTCGCATTTTGCAGTTTTTGTTCATCCTCTAAAAGTAGTTCAAGATGGCAGCCATTTTCAATATTGTTGTCAGACGTCACCTTGGTTACAAAGACCAAATATGGAAATAAACCACAGGAGCCCCACAATAAGATCAAATGCCCTCTTTAGTGATCCGCGTTTTTTTTTTTTTTTTTTTTTTTTTTCCTAAAACCTTCAGATTTTCATTAATTTTTGTTCCTTGATAAAGTTAGATTTAATAGCATTCAAAATTATTTCAGCCTAAAAATTGTAAAATGATACCTTTTTTCGCTCCCTTAACCTTCGAGAACACAATGCTTGGGTTACCTATGTCTTGTTTCCATGACGATGATTGTGACTTTTTGATATACACTACTCAAGAGGCCATTTTAGCTTGTGTACAATCAACTTATGAGACTTTTAAGATAAAAAACAACAATCCTCATCTTTATTCAAAAAGGAAGAAAAACACCAGACTTCAGACAACATGTTGGAAAGTTGAATTTGACTGAAAAATTCAATTTGTGTTGAGGAACTAAGCGAAGAATGTCGGGTCCAAGGCTGAAGGCTGGTGGCTCTAGGTCCCAAAAGCCGTCGTGGTTTCAAGATGTGAAAACAGGATGCGAAAAACAAACAGATTACTTCCTACGAATACGGAAACTACAAAAAGAATTGATCAACAGAGAGCAGCATAACCTTGTTAATGCTATGGAGAGACTCAAACAGCTTCAATATCCTAGAAGGAAGCCTTTTGTTCGCAACTTCGAAGGCCCTCCCGTCAGTTCGAAATGCTTTCCAACAAGGCCATTACGAAATACGAGAAGGGACCCAAAACATCTTCTTAACCAAAGGTCAGAATTTGAGGAATTGAAACCATTAAAAGGGAAAGTGTTGCTCCCAAAAAAGACTCGAGTTGATGATGAAGCGAATGTGGAGCCGTTCACGCTCGATGAAATAAAAAGAATTTACAGTATGTTGCCAATTATGAACGATAAACAAATAGCAAGAATCATCCATGATGTAAGGACGACTTTTCCTGATGAACCCTTCACGTATCTTCTACAACCTCATCTACCATCTATCCCAAATGTTCCACGGAAAGCTAACAGAAGACTTGATAATCGATTGAAATTGCTTACGTTAACTGAGAGCTCTTGCTCTATCGGAAGCTCAAATAGTATTCCACATATACATCCCACTTCTAGCCATCACAAAAGAACAGATGTTGCGCCTAAAGATGCTGAGAAACAGAAACAAAGGAAGAGTGAAAGGAAAAAAGGGAAAAAGAGTATTCTTGCTTTTGATGTTGATCCAAATGATTCCTCTGTGTTTTCAAACTGTCTATCTAGTTCAGATAAAGATATTCTGAATGAGGACCCCTCTCCTTTGCCCCCTCCTAATTCTAGACCTACTTCATGTTTGAAAAATATGGATGCAGAACGTGATGTAACAAAGGAAAAGCTTGAAAATGAAACAAGTGAAACTCTGAATGACTTGAACGAAAAACTTACTGAATCAGTTGTTGAGAATACTGTTCAACTCTCTGCATCCAATCAATTAGATGAAGAGATGCAAGAAGAAAAACAGAATTTACCTAAAAGTAATCCAGGTGAAAACCATGATTCCAAGGAAATCTTAGATGAAGAAAAGAAAGAAGATGAACAATTGCAACCAGAGGCGCAGCCAGAAGCACTCAATGCTGTAGAAAGCTTAGAAAATTTACCTGAAAATGCTTCTGTCATTTACACAGAGCCAGTAGTTAAAATCACAAAAAAGGAACCTGCTATGTTAGAAAACTAAATGAAAGAATTAGGATTTTAAAATAAGATGATATGAGGCCTAATAATTTGTCAAATTCTTCTAAAAAATCAAAATTCTTAAAAACATATAACCATAAAACATTTAGAAAGTGAATAGCAGAGATAATCTTGTCGTTTTAAAATATACACTTTATAACATTATAAATCAAAAGCTYCCATATGTAAAACTTGAGAGAAACAAAGAGTAAAATGATGTTTTAAATGATTAGGACAATTTCGTTTGTTGTCACCCTCCCCTCCCTAGTGAATCTGAACTAGCACCACACCTACAATCCCCCAAGATGCATCAGTATCAGGAAAGTGAAATTTCCGCCATCTTGGTTCGTGAAGTTGGCTTCCGTTCTTTTAGGTGGATATTTCTCCTACTTTCCTTGGATTGTTTTAGTGGAATCAAGGAGCACTTTATCAAAGAAAGATGAGTGGAAGACAGCCTGCTTGTGTTATTGATAATGGCACCGGGTAAGTTGAAAAATGCGCGTATCTTTTCCGGCATTTACAGACTGATTTGTGTCTTGTTCACTTTGAAGATAATGAAGTGTACATTCTACTAGTTTAAAAAATCTTACTATTAAATCTTTCTCTCACAATTACTTTTGCTTAACCAAGTGTATTAGTATCATTATTGTTCTTTGTGGGGTTAAGACAAATTGGATATATTATCAAAAGGGTGCGACCATTAAGTTGATGTACTGTAGGAGGAGGTGACCTCAAAGAAAGTATGGCTGCTGAAGTTACTACAGGAAGTAAACTCATATGATTACTTCTTACGCCACAATTATAATCTTCCCAACAATAAAACAACCTCTTATCCTTTGATTTATTATCACCCTACATTTATCTGTAGTTCCTGGAGAATACTCGGTCTTTTCTAGATGTGTTGTGTTGTGGAATGAGTTTCATCATGACAAAGCTGTCACTAAATTACCTTATTTAAGGCTTAAATAGAATTCAAAATAAGTAGTTTCAGATGTATTCGAGTAGTACTCAGATTTGTATATCTACCGATTAGATTACAAGTTAATAAGTCATAAAAGTATTTTATTTCGTTTTGTCATTGTTTCAGAAACTTGTAAAATACTAGTAATACATAGTGATGAAGTGGTCTCATTTTATCTGCATGTACTAGTGTCGACAACTTTTTCAACTTTTTCAAAGTAAACACTAAATATGATGACAAAGCTTGTGTACACAGTATTTATTGACTAAAGTATCTCTGTTTACTCAAAGGAACCAAACAAGTCTTATTTGCATCAATTTTAGTCTTTCTTTTCCTCTGACTTGGAAAAAGGCCAAAAATCAAAATTTTGCATTCCTTCAATCTTTATATCCATTTAGATATTTAAATTCATAAGGCAATGCAGAACCATGATCTAAAACTAGTTGAATACAATTTTCAGTGGATTTCAACTGCTTTTCTGAAGATGCTTGTCCATTTAACGACCAGAATTGTTTCCAGAGACTCGTGTTTGTTGAATCAAAGAAAGAGCTTTCTAAAGGGTTTGCACTCAATTATTTTTAGATTTGCCACAAAAAAATAATAAATAGATACAGAATAAAAAAGAGTGCATGTACTTGTATAAAGATTCTAAATCAGTGCGTAGCCATTTCAATTGTGGTAATACTTCTAACTAGGATTGTTGCTATATGCTTGAATTCTAAAACATTGTTGTCCAATGGATGACCTCTTTTAAAAGTTACTTTCAGACCATGAGAACATACGCCAATCCCTTCCTATGTGGTTGGATGAAGATTATGTTATTGTTGTTATAATCTTATAAATATATAAATATAACCATATTCTTATTCTTCATCGTAATCTTTGGTATAAATAAAGTATATATATTGTGTTGAAAGTTCCTTTATTTGAGTTTTAATTTGGATTATAGGTATACTAAAATGGGCTTTGCTGGCAACACAGAGCCTCAGTATATTATACCAACAGGTAAGGAATTAACAAATCGACATCAGTTTTTTATGTGTCTGTTCTCCTATTGACGATAAATTGCGTCATTGCATTGTCAAAGTAGYGTGAATCCGCATACACTTTGACAAAGTGATGGCGAAATTTATTGTCAATAAGAGGACAGACACATAAAAATCTGAAGTCAATTTGTTTTTTACGATATAACCAAATAGATAAAAACTTCTCATTTTTACTGATCAAAGCAACTAACAGAAAGAGCATGAGCTTGTTGACGTCGGCTTTATTTGACTGTCCTCTTATTGATGATAGAAAATAACCAATCAGTGCGTGGGAAATTTGCAAGTTATTGCAAAATGTTCACTGTATAGTTATAGGTTTCAATAGCAGATGACTAGCAGCTGATGTTGCCAGGTACATGTACCTTACCTCTCATTGCCAGCTATTTCGTGGTTACAGTGTAAATAGATAAACAATAATATTAATATAGCGCAGAACACAACTGCCTATTTTGTCAAGAGAACCCCACTGCTTTTATTTGCAAACTCCAGTAACTAAAAATGGTCAATTCTGTAATTTTCTTCCCAGCTATTGCAATAAAAGAATCTGCAAAAATTGGTGACAAAAGTCAAAGAAGATCAGGGAAAGGAGTAGAAGATCTTGGTGGGTATTACGTACATACTGTATTTTACTTTTTGTGAGTTTAGATGTCTGAGCACGAGGTTTCTCCCAATAGTTTTAATAAATCATTCAAATTTATAAGTTTAATTATAAGTTTTGTTAATGCTTTTACATTAAACAGATTTTTATATTGGGGATGAAGCAATAGACCAACCAAATTATGCAACCAAGGTAAGTCCATTTACATGTAAATTGTGGTTTCAATCTTATGCAAAACCAATAAATTTCTCTAGAGTGAGTGAATTATTTTATAAAATCAAAAAACCCATCTCTAAACATCCAATCAGATTCTGTAAAAAGAATTTCACGTAGCGTGTAATTATGCACATGATTTACTTTCGTTGTATCATTGCCTCCAACTTTGTATTTCATTAAATGTATTTCATTAGCTTGGACTGCCTGTGGTTGGATAGCAGAACAATAGAGCCCCTTTGCTCTCGGRAACTGAATTCCTTCTCATGTAAAATGAATGTATTGTCCCTGCCATCTAACATGGCTGCCGTCACGTGATAGTGCGAAACTTCTRTTGTAGATTAAGAGTCAGGAACAAGCAGACATTATTTTTTTCCCAGGGCGTTAAAAAAAGGTTCAAAAGCATTAAGCAATAGATAGGTTTCTATTAAAACTAAGCATTTTGAAGATGGCAATAATCAATGCAGTGGAAGAGTATGAGTCCCATGACGTCGACACAGCTGTAGGATTTTCAGTACCATAAATACTCTTGAACACTTATTTTTCAGTGGCCAATTAGACATGCTATCGTTGAAGATTGGGATTTAATGGTAAGTATTATCTGTATATATGATTCAACTAAAAAGTGATTGCAATCATTGAAATGTATTGTACTACAGATGTCAGCGAACTACCAAACCGAGACAAAAAAAACGTGCAACAATTACACCTCCATACATCTTCTATTCCGCACCAAAACACCAAACTTTTAGTCTTGCTTTCCTTTCTCCATGTGTCGGCATCCTTTTGATAATTCATTGGAAATAAAATCATCAAAGGATGCCGACATGGGAAGAAAGAATGACAAGGCTAAAGGTTTGATTTTTGTGTGGGGAATCATGGACATTAATTTTTTAGGCCTGATCGTGGCATGTTTTTTTGTCTTGGTTCGGCAGTTTGCTGATATCCATAGTATTATACAACAATTTTGAATATAACAGTACATGAACTCAATAGTTAAATGTTGCCAGTTGAATTTTTTTACGATTGCCAGTCAAAAGTGTAAAAGGTACTAATTGATTATTTTTAATTGACAGAAGCAAAAAAAACAAATTTCACTAGCAGCTTGCAACTACTGAGTCCCAGAATTTTGAAAACTGCTATAAAGACAAGCACAAACTTCAACATTTAGTTAATATCACTGTAGCATACTTATAGTATCCATGCCATGCCAGGGCTGTGATTGTACCTTGTCCAAAACTTAGTATTCTGATTGGATAAGCAGTGATGTTGTTCCATGTAATTAGTGCAAAGGATATCATCAATTTTATACTGCGACTTGCTGTGGGGTGTGACTTTTCATGACCATATGAATCTAGTTTATTTGTTTTAACCCTTGATGGCATGCTTTTATTTAAACGTTTAATGATATTTTATTGTTTAGGAGCGGTTCTGGGAACATTGTATATTCAAGTACCTTAGAGCTGAACCCGAGGATCATTATTTTCTGTTGGTCAGTATTATTATGACATATTATGTTGTCAAGTTTATCTTAAGTTTAGATTTTTTTAGTGCTTAATTAGAGCAGCAAGCAGACAATATGTGTCTTGGTCAATCTATGATATAAATGACAACATAATATTAATTTTGTATTGATATTTAGAGCCAATCAGATCTCATATTGAAAAATATGAACCATTATTGCCAGAATAAAAATAATGGCCACTCAAGAGACAATGTCTGGACAAAATTGGCACTTGTCCAGTCAAACACCTCTTAGGCCAGTCCTATTGACTGGTCACATTGATTGGTCCAATGTAGGTGGTCATCGTATTAAGCAGCCATAATTTTTTAAACCCTGAATAGTGACTCATTCTAAAAATTGAGAAGCACGTGTGGCGTAGCAGTGAGAGCGCTCGCCTCTCACCAATGCGACCCGGGTTCGAGTCCCGCCTAGCTTGGTGTCGTATGTGAGTAGAGTTGTTTGTTGGTTCTCTCCTGTGCTTCGAGGGTTTTCTGGGTTCCCCGGCTTCCCTCCCTTTGCAAAAATCAACTTCTAAATTCCAATTGGAATTACAGTGGATTAATAGCTACTCTGTAGAAATGCCACTGCTAAATCCCATTTCTAAAAATAAATGTGATTATTTGTGATGAGTTTGCACAACAATGCTATCAATGATTTTTAGCATAGCTTTATGTCCTTGTTTTATTTTGGTGGAAATCAGGCATTCAAGGCTGTTTCTTGTCTCTTTATAGACTGAACCACCATTGAACACACCAGAAAACAGGGAATATACTGCAGGTAATAATAATACTATTTATTTATAATAACATTTATTTACTCATTATTGCGCAGTCTAACATGCCAATATATGATCGAGTGTGCATAGGTAAGAGCAAAGTGCAGGTAGGTTTTGCTAAAAGGCTAACAATTCTGATCAGTAAAACAGAACATAAATATGCACTGGATGGCTATTTTACATCGAACTATTTGCACTTTATTGGGACAATTTTTTTTTTGGAATATGAATAAATGGCTACATAGTTATTCATATTTTTCATGTTTTGGCATCTAATAAGGTATTTGTATAAATGTATAAATGATTTACCGTTTTTATATCTACCATATTCATTTTAGTTTAGTTTAGTTTAGTTTTAGTGCGCACGTGAAAAGCACTTTGAATCATAATATTTTAGTTTTATAATTTTGTTAAATTTTTTCTCATAGTAATTCATGAAGATAATACTAAAAATATGTCTCATCTTGTGCATCACACCTTGAAGTTTGACATTCCTCAAACATTTTCTCTTCATCCCCAAAAACTTAGCGACTCCTACATTGTAATATCCAAAGAATACCTATATATTAATTATTTGTTTTTAGTATAATTTTAGTATTTTTTTTTTATTTCTACAGAGATCATGTTTGAGTCTTTCAATGTCCCTGGTTTGTATATAGCTGTTCAGGTACGTAATCATACTGCTAAAAAAATATTATTATGGAGCATAAGTGTGGCAAGCTAATAAATTTAGGCATAGCCAAATGAATTTCTTCCTAAGCTCCCCACAATATGAACACTAGGGTAGGAATCAAGGGTGACATACTGTAGTGTTAGTATAGTGGGTCTTGGGTTGGTTCCTGGACTCTGCATGACATGTAAGCAGAGTTTGTTAGGTTTCTCATTGATTTGAGGATTTTCCCTTGGTTCTCCAGTTTTCCTCCCTGTGCCTAACCTAACACCCTAGATTCCAATGTGATCTGTGAGTTAATTGTACCCTGACTTTGATCAGCCCAGAGGTCGTTATAAGGTTCTATCAGTGATTTAGCCATGCTCTTAATTTGATCAGCCCAGAGGTTGTTTTTAAAATTCTTTCCTGTGAATTAGCCATGCTCTTAGTTTGATCAGCCCAGAGGTTGTTTTAAGGTTAGCTACATGTATATGTGAGTTAGCCATGGCCTGACTTTGATCAACCCAGAGGTTGTTTTTAAAATTCTATTCTGTAAGTTAGCTATGCTCTTAATTTGATCAGCGCAAAGGTTGTTTCAAGGTTTGATGAAATTGTAAGGTTTTATTCTTATCCCAGATAATGTATTGTCTATTTTCAGGCTGTGCTTGCCTTAGCTGCATCGTGGACATCACGTCAAGTAGGAGAGAGGACACTGACTGGTTGTGTCATTGATTCTGGTGATGGTGTCACTCATGTCATCCCTGTGGTAAGTAAATCAGCTACAGTTTACAGTTTACAGTTAAGCAATTACAGTTTATTTCATAAAATTTAATACRATATATAATAAAATACATGAGCCCGCAAATAGCACAGTTAATCGGGGCAAGCTCATGTTTACAAAGCAAAAACATTACATTATGTTAAACTACAATAAATTAATAGAGGAAAAGCTATCATATGACGTGAATATACATTAACAAATTACAAATTAACAAATATTCATAACAGAATAACAAATACAATAAGAGAGTTCTACATTAAATTATTCCAAAAATAGTTTTCCTGATATCTGGAATATTCAAAGACTGTAAGTGTTATCATCAGCTAAAGGCCGTGCAATAATGGCTTTCATTTAAACACAATATTAAAGATTACAGTGAAGCTGATGTGGTTCTATCAAGGCTGATAGCATTTATCGAGAATTATTATACATGTATCGTAGAATGATAAGTAATACACCGTAGTGAAAATAGTAACTGACGTTTCGGACGTTAGTCCTTCGTCGGAGTCAATAGAAAGTAAGAGTAAGAGAGATGTTTATATAGTAGAGGAGAGAGAAAACAAACCAATAAGAAAAAAGCAAGCCATTTAACAAAGGAAAACAAAAGGATCGAAAACAACAATAGGTGGGAAATAACTTAATTATAAGAAAGCCATCATCTAGATATTATACATGTAGTTTTCCTCACTATCTTGCCTCTGATTGGCTGAGATATTCAGCCAATCCTCTGATAGCATGTGAACTTGACATGATAAATGTAATGTTTCTAAATGTTTTATCTCATAATACAATGTTACATATTAAGTTCATTCAAGGCTATCAGAGATTGAAATACTTGGTTTAAAAGCAGAACTAAATCAGACTTCATGAAGGTGGCTTGCTTTCTATTTTGGGAAAAAGTCCATGAGAAATTTTTTTGAAAAACAAAGTTTATCCCAAATGTACATGTAATGCTGATTACTAATGTGATTCCAAAGCAAAATAAGGTGTACTGGGGTCATTTTTCTTATATCCATAATCAAACAAAATAAAAACCAGCAAAAACCAACCTCATAAAAAATTCTAACTTGGAATTTACTTTTTGCAGTACGTCATTAATTATTGAGGCTTTTACAAGCTCAGCAAATAATACAACCTTGATCTTGATGATTTACTGTATGACATCATGCGCGGCCTCATCTAATGATTGTTTAATGTTTATTACCTTTTTTTTATTCAAGGCTGAGGGTTATGTTATTGGAAGCTGCATCAAACACATCCCTATTGCTGGAAGGGACATTACATTCTTTGTCCAACAACTCCTCAGGGAAAGAGAGATTGGTATTCCTCCAGAACAGTCAATGGAAACCGCTAAAGCTATCAAGGTTGGTTTTGATATAAATTCCTATGGAACTCTTGCTGGGTAGGGGTAGATTTGCTTGTTATATTTTCATTTGGTCAATAACACTTTGAACCATGCACTTATGTTTTCTAAGAACCTTGAATTTGATCAATACCATGACTCGACACCTCATTGCTGATCTAAGGCAGGTCCTTAATTCACAGATGGAATTGGAATTTGACCTGGAGAAAAACCCTTGATGGATGGAATAAAGGAGGTCTGGTTTAATAAATAAGCCCCATGGCATCATACCAGACATCCTGGCCATTGTGTATGAATAAGTCTTGAAAGGTAACTGTACCTTTGCATTGAAGCAAAGGGGATGGTTGGCTTGCAAAGATAGAGACATGTGAATAATTGTTGGTGTTAAAAAAGGTCTCTATCATTGCCAGCTCACCATTTGTCTGGCTTCAATACAAAGGCACGGCTACCTTTGCAGATGATGAAGGGAACTTTGAAAGGGACTATTGCAAACAAATTGTTTTATTTTGATACTGACTTTAAATCCATTCCAGTACTGCTTTGCCAAATCATGATTTTTTCTTCTTCTGTTAATCAGGAACGCTGGGGCTATATCTGTCCTGATATAGCAAAAGAGTTTGCTAAATATGAACAAGAACCAGCTAAATGGATCAAAAAGTTTGAAAGTATCAACTCTGTAACAAAAAAGGTAACAATGTTAGCTGTTTTTGATAATCCTAAGACCCAGGCGGTCTAATATATAGTCTGCAAGTAGCCAAACACAAAACCTCATTTACTGTAAGTTTGCAAACCTAACAGAGTTTCAGCTGTGTTCAGTAGAGCTTTTAAGTGTGACCGCAATCGCATGGAAACATTCYGGGTCCAAAAGGAAAAATCAGTTCTATAAAGACCTTTCTTACTTTTTCGTCATGACATTATTTGTTATCCAAAGTTCTGATATTTTCAGTTGGAGGTTAAATCATTGAGAACATTTTTACTTGATTTTACTACAGATCTCACCGAACTGTGGCGACACTTCAAAAATTTGTCTCACTACCATACCCTAATTCGTCTACTGACACACCTACTTTTGTTACATGTATTACAGTGAATACATTACGGGCAATGTGCTAGATCCAAGACAGTGACAAAAGTATGCGTGTCAGTAGACAAATTGGGGTATGGTAGTGAGACAAATTTTTGATGTGTCACCACAGTTTGGTGAGATCCATAGTAGCGGTTTTTATGAGCATTTGGACCCTGAAATACATCACAACTTAGAAGCTTTACAGTTAAACCCTAATTGTACTAAAGGCAAAAACATTGCTGGTCTTTTTGGCTACTATAGACCTTTCTCATGCAGCAGTAATTTGGGTTTGAATGATACAATTTTTGTCTGACTAAGCTCGCATTTAAGCACAAATAGGTAATTTGGGTTTGAATGATACAATTTTTGTCTGACTAAGCTCACATTCAAGCAACAATTGGTCTGTTAAAGAAGAAAAAATTATAATGATTGTTTGATTATATAACTGTTTGATTTCTCTACTCAGCCTTACAGTGTTGATGTTGGTTATGAACGTTTCCTTGGACCAGAGATTTTCTTCCATCCGGAGGTAAAAGACTACATCCAGAACTCAATTTGATCATTTTGTTTTGTTTTGTTTTTGTATGTGTTTTTTAATGTGTGTGTTAATTTCTTCATTTGTTTGTTTATTTTCTTACTTTTTGTTATTCTATAAGTTTGTTGATGAATTTTTGTTTTTCTGTCATTCTTGTTAATTCATTTGTTTGACAATAAATTATTCTTCATTTTTTTGGAATTCATTTGCTTTTATTGATTTATGTTAATTTCACATAATTTAGAATCTAAAAACTTTGCGTTGCGTATGCACTGATTTTGCCAAAAGTCGCAACAGTTCAATCAGTTCAATTGCATTACATACTGTCGATTTACTTGTGAAATGACAACTTTCAATCAGCTCGCGGCTTTCAATTCCCTATTTCACTATGACGTCACTGCTTGCTTATGTGGGGGATAGAATCGCCAAATCCAATAGAAAATTCAACAAAATTTGCTCCTAGCGAAACAATATGTAGCAATATATTATTTGTGTTAATATGTACTAAAAATATTCTGAGCGTTTGCTGGCTATTCTACTTCTCTTCGTGKATTGATACGGGTTTTAGAACAATTTTCGGTGCATTTGCGTTGATTTGACCCCCTCCGACGACCATGACCTTGTTTTGATGTGAAGTCATAGTGGAATAGGGCAATTAGCAATGTCAACAGTGGTAACTGATATATCTTATGATTGTCTAGTTTTCCAATCCTGACTTCACAACTCCCTTATCTGAAGTAGTGGACAATGTGATTCAGAACTGCCCCATTGATGTCCGAAGACCATTGTACAAGGTTTGTTCAGAAACAAAAAACTGACATTCAACAATCCATTCAACAGTGTTAGATAGGATGATATTAAGGGGGTGGCTTTTATTGACAAAGCCAGTATAATATAATAGCTTCCTCTATAGATTTTACATTACTCTATATCTTTATTAAATCTTTATTTCTTGTAGGAGTGTGGCTAACCATCACTACCCCTCCCCCCCCCTCCCCAGATCCGCCTTTAGTTTAATCACCCAATACTTCATGTGTGTAACAGACTTAATACATTCCCAACGTTGTATCATTTTTCAATGTTGTTATTTCTGTTTTTCTGCAGAATATCGTACTGTCTGGTGGATCAACGATGTTCCGTGATTTTGGTCGCCGACTTCAAAGAGACATAAAGAGAACTGTTGATGCCAGGCTGAAGATTAGCGAGACTTTGAGTGCAGGAAGAATAAAGGTGAGAGAGGGGTCTTGTTATATTATGGTTCTTTTGGTTTATTCTCTTAAAATATAGACCTAATCCACTGTTTTTCCATTTCAGACCACGTGTCATTCCCTAGAGTAGCATTTCTTTGTTTAAAAGTTGTGCATCAGAAGACACATGAATATGGATACAACTATGCAAAACAAAGAATTTAATTCGCAAGAAAGTGACACGTGGTCTGAATTGCTCAAAACATTACCCCAAGTGGATTTGGTCCATTGTTTGCACCCAATACCCAATAACATAGCAGTTCTGTGTTCAATGATATGATATATTTATGTATATGTTTTATTTGCTCCTTGCAGCCAAAACCAATTGAGACTCAAGTCATCTCTCACCACATGCAGCGTTATGCAGTTTGGTTTGGTGGTAGTATGCTCGCATCAACGGTAAGAGCTCACCAGTCAAAACAATCAGTTCTGATCTTTTTCAAAATTTATTAACCACTTACAGTGCAACTACTATTCAAAGTCATGTGAATGTTGTGTTATTGTCCCTGGAGATTAATATTACAGATATATAAAGGGAATATTTTATCATCCCATTGCACTTGGTTCTACTCGTAAGAGACGCGTAGCGACCCACCCCCCTCCCCCATTGATGAAGACGGTTTTAGCTGCGACGACTTTGGTCGTCCGCTCTGGTTTGGCTTGTTCCAGGCCAGARTGATTCCCCATACCTTATTTGAATAACAATACCCAGGGACAAAATAATACACTATAACTGGGGCCACTTAAACAGCGAGAACCAATCGAATTGTAGAATGAAAACAATACATCCCCACGTAGGGTAGCGGAGCCGATCAGAAAGCAGCAGAAGACAATAGCCTTTCAACATATCTTTTCATTTCCATGCGAAAATGACGACGGCTGTATAGTTGTTTTCACGTAACAGTGTCAAATTGCCATTCTTGTGCAGTATAAGTTTCTGATTGGCTCCACTACCCAGAGTTGGAATGTATTGTTTTCATTCTACTTTTTAATTGGATCTCTTGTCTGACTGGTCTAAGTGGCTAAATGGGTGGGGTTGGGAATTCCAAATCGCCATGCCACTGTACTCACCTTCCTTGACCTTCTTTAACCATGTATGTATGTCTTTTACAGCCTGAGTTCTACTCTGTATGCCACACCAAAGCAGACTATGATGAACACGGACCAAGCATCTGCCGTCATAACCCAGTATTTGGTGTCATGTCTTAAATCACCCACCAACATAGATACATAGATTCATCTTTCTATTACCTATACTAATTCTAGCCACGATTACCTGTTTTCAATTCAAACATCACCATAAAAAAAGAACAACAAATAGGTAAAGGTATAAGCAATATTTTTCTTTTTAAGTTTTCTTTTCTTTTCAAATACTGCAGTAGTTAGTTCTCTTACATCGTATGATGAAGTGTTGTATAAAACTGCTGTGTATTTGGACAGTACAATCAGGTAATCAAAGCCAAAATGTAAAATGTAGAACAAATTTAAATGTATTTTTTTCGCAGACATGTTTAAGCTAACGCAAATTAGATAGAACGAAATTTTATTGCAACTTTGTTGATTTCATTGAAATTCGTCTATCTTGTATGTGACTGACAGGAAATCTGGGATAGAGTACAGATTGGCTTCAAAAAATCTGAAAATTTAACAAAATTTGTTTTGAAATATATAACTTGAATTTTGCCCTCATAGCCTCGCTTTGAAGTTTTCAAAAGCAGGGGCGAAGGGTTTTTATCCTTATAAGAATAATGATAATGCAAAGTCACCACAGGAAGCCCAATAGTCGGGTATCCCAGAGGGACTCCACAGGAACCCCAGTATGAGATAGACGAACTTTAATATTGTATAGAGCTTTGGAATTCTCTCTAAATCTGAACAAAAGGTTAGCTCAGAGGATTTTTAATGGCCCTTTTGTTCTTTATCTATTTGATACTTTGTTTAAAGCGCATCAAGTAGAATTCTCAATACATGTATGACTGAAGAATTTTATATTTTTGTCTAAATAAATTTGCATTGATCGTTGACAGTCTGTTTCTCATTACTTTTCGAATAGTATGTACTTATTGACTGAGTGGGAGGGCCGTACGGGAAAATATTTGGCTCGAGGTCATGTTGTACGGACCGAGCGCAGCGAGGTCCGTACAAATGACCGAGAGCCAAATATTTTCCCGTACGGCCCGACCTAACTCAGTCAATAAGCATTTTATCATATGACCCTCACGAAAATAAAAATAATTAAGAAAAAGAAAGCGCGCGGATTCGAGCAGGGCCGGACGGGTTTTTCCGGCCCGCTTACGTCAACCCGTCCGGCCCCCATCACGTGACTTTTTCAAATGGTTTTATTAGAGCGCGCGAGCAGGGCCGTACGGGTCATATGATAATATGTACTTATTGACTGAGTGGGAGGGCCGTACGGGAAAATATTTGGCTCGAGGTCAAATCGTACGGACCGAGCGCAGCGAGGTCCGTACAAATGACCGAGAGCCAAATATTTTCCCGTACGGCCCGACCTGACTCAGTCAATAAGCATTTTATCATATGACCCTCACGAAAATAAAAATAATTAAGAAAAAGAAAGCGCGCGGATTCGAGCAGGGCCGGACGGGTTTTTACGCCCGCTTACGTCAACCCGTCCGGCCCCCGTCACGTGACTTTTTTCCAATGGTTTTATTAGAGCGCGCGAGCAGGGCCGTACGGGTCATATGATAAACCTCCTTACGTCGTAATGCAGCTCAATATTTGGAGGACATAATAGGTTTCCAATTCTCAGGCGTTTGAAATTCTTTTTTTTTTTTTTTTTGGTCCTCCAGATTTAGCTGCTTTGACATCATACAAGGGCACCAAGGTTTTAATGTGAGGCCTACAACATAATGCTCAGTGATTTGTGACAAAAGAAAAGAATTAATTTAATTTAGCACGGTGCCTCGTACAGAAACCTTTGTACGCATGACAAGCGAAGCATATCTTGGAGGTGGTCTATTGGCACGGAGCAGTATGATTTAATTAAGTGCACATGTATTCATGCTTTATTGGACTCATTGCATAACATCGTTTGGAGCGTCGGAAGCCAAATTTTGCCCTATCCCACCCTGGTGGCAGTGGCATGGTGTTATTGTTCATCTTCCTCGCTGTTTACCTCATCACAACAGTAGCGGATCTCATCCCATAACTTGACTCAGTGCTGTGACTTGACAAGCCCGGTTTCATGCTGGCGTCGGAATCGCATGCAATCGTAATCGCAAGGAGCTTACGATTAAGTCTTTCTTTGGAGCTTGCTCCAGGCTTCTATGTCTGTTTTCCTGCGAATTTTCAAGGAGGCCATGTGTTTTGCTCTGAATGACTTACACATGATCTCCTTCATTGGTCAAATCCTCCGATCCCGACGCTAGTGTGAACCAGGCTATAATGAGTATGCAGTAAAAATATATTACGATCCACCGACGCTGATACAATACCCCAACGAAATCGCGGGAACGGGGAACAGGTTTTTGACAGTGCTACAATTCAGTGCATCATTTCTCGTGTCACTGAGGGATTCATAGTTCTGCTCCCCTTGGTTACCGTTGCTATGCCACACAAACTCAAGATTTTAGCTACAATGCCTCAGAATTAATCGTATTATTAAGATTCTACTGTTCTATAAAAATGCAAGATAAAATAGATAAAAAGTAGTTAATTTAAAACGGGTATTTAGTAGTTGTTTGTACATGAGGGACAAGATTCGATTCCTGAATAGTCGAAATCCTAAGTGTTTATTTCCCCTCTCATGTACCTGCCTCAAAACTAAAAAAATACCCGCGACGCCGAGACATAAAAATATGTACGAAACAAAATAAACACTGCGATGGAACATGATGGAAAATGTAACTTATAAAAATATAAAGCAAATAGGAAAATCGTACATTATTGCCTAGGCAATCCGGAAAAAGAATCAAGTGATCGTGAAAAAACGAAGAAAGATTGGTCTCAAAATGACGTCAGAACGGTGTCGTAATGACGACACCAAATTTATCCATACGTACATWACATCTTGATCAACCAATTATCTATCACCTAACTTAGCATACCCTCCCTTGGGAGGAAACCCCAAATAGCATTGAGAAGGGTCGGGTGCGTTTATATACAATGGTCTTGCATAAAGCGAGGTTTAAAAAAGGCTTTATTCATTGTTGTTTACATTTCTTTTGAGATCTCTTAATACCCAACTGATGTGTAGGCGTACTTCTTAAAATCTAGTTGTAATTCTCTATGGCTTTATTTGTTTGTTTGTCTCCAAGTACATTTTTAAAGCAGCAACTAATCTTGTAGTTCAGAGCTGTTCAGAGCTTAGCAAGTTGTCTCTAAAGTGTCTAACTGGTGTGTCGTTTTTGATGCTCAAAAGGGATCTTTAGGCCAATTATTACAAAATCGTGTACAATAACTTATTCCAGATTAGATTTTAAGCCCTTTTGCAACGACTATATTTCTTTATTATCTTAATCCCAACTTAATTATTTTTATTGCGCCAAACTGCACTGGGGTCTCGCAAGCTTATGCGCCATTTTTTATTACAAAGACCTGGTTGCCATATCCAGTTTTTTTATTTTCGTACATTGGTTAAACACGGCTTTGCATAGCTTTCTGTTTTTGAGTCAGAATTAATTTTAGAAAATCATCTTGCAATATTGAATGTTGTAGCTCTTTTTTCGTCTTTATGCCTCCAAAAAATATATCTATAAAGCGTTTGTACAAGAGTATACGGGATAAAGGTCGTCACATCAGAGTAAAAAGATTCACAAACGACCTCGTTAATTTGAAAATTCATTACATGGGATTTGCAGTTGATTGGTTTGTATGGCGACTTGTCGTTTAATTCACTTTTATCAAATACGGGGGTGTTACATTAGAAATCTTATATGTCAATCAACTTATGGAAATCAGCTTTATTCACGTATGACAGAAAGACTCCGAAGTAATTTTTTAGCGGGATTAGGGCTTCCTGAAAAACTTAGAAGAACCTATATAGTAGAATGTCGCCAAATTCCCAGAATGCTAAGCCGAATAACCTAAAGAACTAGATCAAAGAAGTAAACTTAGAAGTTTGAAAAACTTACCAACAATGGTTCTAAAGAACGACGTTGACATATTGTCTACAAAGCAGAAACTAGACGTGTTGCTAGAGAAAGATTGTGTGTTTTGGGAATAGCGAAAGAAATGTCCACGAGTTTCGAACATGGCACAGATTGCTTTGAGGTCGAAGCGGTAAGTTTGGTAAACTTTTGCGCCAGCAAAACTAGTATAGGTTGAGTTGAACTTAATTAGTCTTTAACTTTGATTCGAGTTATTCGTCTTGTGTGTTTACTTTAGAACTAATGCTAATTTGTACGTTTTATTTTCGTAGTTTCTACACAGAAATGAATTTTCAAAGCTTTTCAAGGTTCGACACAAAGCGACCGGACACATTTACTGTATGGAAGTTGTCCCAAAGAGAAACGACTTCCAAGGACCAATAAATTCAAGAGTCCAGGAAGCTAGCGATGGCTTGTCAAAATTCTGGGTTAATTTAAAGTTTACTTTTCAAACCAATTCTAAATTGTATTACATCCTTGAATACATTGGCGAAAGGACTTTGGGTTCTGTGTACGAAAATAATGGCCCATTCACTGAAGACTTAGTGATATTTTATGCCAGTGAGATTGTGGTTGCCTTGGATGAGATACACTCTCATGGTTTACTTTATGGAGAACTTGACTTGGAAAAAGTATTATTMGATAAAACTGGACATATAGTTTTATGGAGAAACTTCTGTGGAAAGAAATATTGGACTCGAAGAGAATGTCTGTGCAGTTTGAACGGATTTAGAAGAGGTATTCCATGTGAAAATTCACATGAGAAAATCTCAGAGCGCGAAAGCAAAATTGATTTTCAACTTCTTGGTCTGATCGTGCTTCAATTGTTTTCACAAGAGAAGATGACGAGCTTGTTTAACGATAAAACAACGAGACAGGAAAGGTACGTCAATTGTTCATACGTTCATGATTGAATAGTGGGTGAAAACAAGGTGCTAACGGCATGACTTTTTCTTAAAATTTACAAATCATTTGGCTTTTTTCACCTCTATACAATATCATAGCACACGATCACAGTAAAAAAATTTTATGTTCACCAGAAGTGCTAATAACACATCATAAATCTTGAGCTATATAAAACATATTGATTCTCAAAATTTGAAGCAAGAAAAAAAATTGTCATGGTTGTTCAAATGATTTTAATTGACAAAGGCCGGTAAACGGGGCTTTCTCGAGTCTCTTATTGCTACTAGGACGCTTGCGACCGAGGAGCAGCTATAGCTACGTATTGGCCGTTATTCTCCGCGCTAATACTCGATCCGTAAATTTTCTCCTGTATCTCGGCAAGTTAATTTAGAATCTACAAAAGAAAAAATAATTTCCTTGAAAAAGTAGAAGTATATCGCTCTGAATAAATAAATAAATAAATAATATTTCCTTAATGTTGAATAATCATTTAGTTTAGTATCTGGTTATCAAACTTAGAAACGATTCCTGTGTGCTGATCTAAATTTGCGGAGTAAGTCGAGAAATTGGAGAAAAGGAGCCAAGCCTTGAATCTAGGCCTAGGAAGCGACCATATTTACCATCACAGTTATTATGTCATTCCCTTCATTCATCCATCATCATCGTCTTTGGAATATCATTATCGTCCTCCTCCTCCTCATCATTATAATCATCCACAACAACAACATCGTCATCATCATCATCATCATTATTCATCAACCATCACTTCCATATTATCCCTCATCATCATTCGAATATCATTATCATCATCAACATACTCATCATAATCATCATTATATCACCATTATCATCATCATCAACAACAACAACTTCGTCATCATCATCATTATTCATTATCCATCATTTCCATATCACCCTCATCATCATCATCATACTCATCATATGAAAATCACCATCGTCATAATCACTGATCGGCAAAATCATCGTTATCAACATTCTTTTTTGAAAGACTGACGGTCACTGATAGTGCATCGTTTTATCCTGGTTCTTTAACGCGTAAATGACAGCGATCAGTCATGACTATTGAAGGGCACTATACACACTAATTTTTATTATTTCTAAATGAATGTTTGAGTTAAAATTTTAATGAATTAGAATCGATCAATGATGCCAAACATATAACCGGTAAACGTTTCGTTACCAAAATATTCTAAAGACTTTTGTCGTTGGGAACTCGTCTACTGACTGACTGACCTACACTTCCAATCGGATTAACCCAGTAATCTTGTACGTACCTAATTAAACTCAAAAACGAATACAGTTTGACAAGCTTAACTCCCTCGAACCAAAGGATAATTTTTAGGATTCCGTTTAGAGTAAATAAAAACAGCAAACACTAAGAAAAAGGCTATTATGAGGAAGATTTTATGACGTTAGCAGAGCTCGTGTTTTTGCAAACTTTTTAAGTGTTTGTCAAATTTGTGTTGCTCGCGGTAAAGCTTATTTACTTTCGTTTTGAGGTTCCTACGCAATCGTAAATAGCCTGAATTAAGGAAATATTTTTAATATTTGTAGCATATTTTCAGTTTTTTCATGCGTGTTTACATGAATTTAGATAAATGTTTGAGGTATTGTTATTTTTTTGTTTGTTTTGCTTTAGTTTTTCGTGTTATTTTGTTTGGGTTATTTATTTTGTTTCTGGTTTGTGCGTGTGGTTTTTAATTAAAGCAGGTATTGTGTGAATGCCACTGATCTACGCTCGYAAAATGTCCATAAAAAAACAAAAACAATTTTGGAAAAAAAATTTGAACATATTATTGAGAATCACTCAGAAATCACTCGCAAAACATAAGAAACATTTAGCTATCAAATGGTTTAGGATCTGAGCCAATCAGGAGGCGCAGAATGCACGTCTCATAAACTCTAAACCTCTCATTTTTCCGTCGATAGACTGCTTCGTCTTGACTCCAAACCTGATATCCTGCCCAGTACTTTATCGGTATTTGCTCGAGACCTGGTCACACGGCTGCTCCAGGGGCAGTTCTACAATAGTCAGCACCTCAAGAGCCATCCCTTTTTCAATGGAGTCAATTGGAAAATGGTAAGTTGATCCAGTGCCTTGAGAATCAAAAGTGTGATTTGTACAGGTAATAATATGATCATCAAAAATTCTCGATTGTGATTGGTCTGCTACTAGTTATTTATTTTTTTTGAAAGCGCTGTACAAAAAAGCGAACTCACTGTGCAAAAAAAAAAAAAAAAAAAAAANAAAAAAAAAAAAAAAAAAAAAAGCAAAAAAGCAGATGTTTGTTCAAAACATATTTGATGGTCATACTATTAAAAGAAAATCAAATGGGTTCGAATGCAGTTTGAAAAAATATATCGCTAATCAAGATTTTCAAATTGGACTCGTCTATATCTATGGCTTCGTGTAATTTGAAAATCTTGATTTTGAACTGTACTCGTGATATTTTTTTCAGACTGTACTCGAACCCATTCGATTTCTCATACGAAGACATTACATTCAATCGTTTGTGCGATTTGACTTTTAAGGACAAAATCCAAAATTTCATTTATTTCATAGGTGGTTGGCACCGGAAAGCCCACCCCACCCTCCCATCTAAGTATGGTCCCGTAAAATAACGATAGATAGAGCTAAGATACAATGTTTTTTAAACATTCTTCGGCGAAGGAATTCGATATCTGTTCTATCCATGGACATATTATAGTTTATTTCCCAACTTAGACTCGCCAAAATCGTTTCATTCAATTTTCAGAGACAAAACAGGAATGAAGAGCAAAAACAAAAACCATAAGGCAAAATAGAGGTTTGCGTAATTGGCTTAAAACTAATGAAAATTTTCCGATAAAGAAAAACTCCCGGAAGCGCTAAAAAGCGGAACATATTGAATAAGAACAATTTCTGTTATTGTTGTGTTTTTAAATTTTGGCTTGATCAAAAAACTTTTCTCGCGTTTTAATTGGCCAGAGCGTCGGAGATCGTTTCACAGTTATTGGTAATGTACGATTCTCAATCTGTACGGTGAGATTTTTTTCTATCGATTCTAAGTAAGGACTTTTAGCCTTTTCCGTAATTTTTTTCTTATAGTTCTTTTGATTTCTCTGTCCAAAGGTCAAGGCACGGTTAACAACTCCCCCCACTATCACAAAGAAGATACTTCACCCTCCTCGGCTTCGTAAGACCAGCAGTGAAGCGTATATACGACCACAGACTCCCGTATCGGTCAACGAMGACTACCTGTCCCCTCCCTACCAAGTACGTCCATCGTCGACACCATTAGACTACTCCAACACAAGGGGCGCCTTCACCGACGCCTCACTAGGAACACCATACACACGGTACACCCCTCATGCAGCTCCTCCTCGACTCCGTAGCACCCTCTCCTCCCCTGATTTGACCTCATTTGGACAGGACATGTGTGGCAGCCAATGGACACGTGATCAGTACGGTTACCGTACGGGAATCCAACGGAACTATCCCGTTCACTCGTATGGCGAATTTTCTCCCGCGGGATCACCGAGGACTTGCTGTGGGCTTTCCCACTCGTTGTCTGATCTCACCAACGTTGATGATTATGAGGCCTACAAGCCTCCGTCTCATTCGTATGGTCGACGGCGGAGATCGTCTCTGACAGATCTGACGCTAGGCGGGAGATATGGTTCATATACACCACCTCCACCTCTCACAACACATCACTCATTCCCACCAAGGAATAGTGAATACATAGAAAGAATAAACATGAGGCCTGCCAATCATGAACATTATGATCATAGGAGAGTTCATGGACAAGCTAAAAATGGTCATACGTTGCCTAGCAACGATTATATTGACAGGCAACACTTGGAGTCGCGCCAAACACAGAATTATCCTTTTTATAAAAATGAGGATTATGGCAGAGGAGATCTTGGTCGTTACTCCAACGAAGACTTTCGATTCGGAGGCTGCAGGCTGCATCGTAATTCATCGTCTTTCGATCTTCGTTCGATTGATATAGTCCAAGATTCCCCAAGGGAAACCTATAGCCGAACGTCCAGCGAAAATTATCGGGAAAGCTTCGGAGGGTTTTCGTCTCTACAGCGAAGTCGTTCGTGTTCGGATTTGAATGCTTCGGATAACGAGGAAAGCAGAGGGAATATCAATCCGGCTTCTTCAACGAGTGAGAGAAGACAACATTATCCTTTAGCTCAAATACCCATTCCTTCTTTCGAGGAATTCAAGCGTAGAAACTCTACTCAAAGCATAGAAGAAGATCTGAAAGGTTTGGGACAGACTAAATACGATGAATTTCTACCATCAAATGCTTATAAAAACGAAAAAAGCGACGTAAATAGCGAGAAGAAAGTCTTAACTAAAGATAAAATTCGGTCTACTAACTTTCTAACCAGTAAATACTCGAGGGAAAGAAGAGGATCAAGAGATACTTTCAAGTCCCGAAGCGATCCCGCGGGATCTGAGCGAGGAAAAAGCACCGAAAATGTCGAAGAAAGCTACTTTTCACAGAACGATGTCATTCACAACCTGATGCTCAAGTACGGACTGTATGAGCGAAGTGAAAAGAAACGACAACCAAACAGCGCTGTAGAGAAAGAAAGAGGGCTAGAAATAAGCTCAGCAAAGACAAAAGAAGCGAATTCTCTTTCAAACAGCAAAAAAGATGCTGGCAAAAGCTTTGAAAATGATAAAAATGGCAGTCCGGAAGTCGAAAGCAGTGTTAGAAGAACAATGAGAAGTGGTCGGCGAGCATCGGCTGTTCATCACAGAGATCCTCCAAAACTGACTCATAAAAGCTATTCATCTTTAACCCCTTCAATAACATTACAATTATCAACCGAAAATGACCAAAATAAAGATACAAATAACAACTTGAAAATTAACGGTATTGAAGATAATTATAATATTTATGACAATTCAACGAATTCTAGCGTTAGAAAAGAAGAGATAAAAACCAAACTGCTCGATTCTGCAGCTCAGGGTGGACCAGAAATAACTATAGCTGATGTTTATAAGTCAACCAAGCACAGAAAATCTCTAATCCCTGACTTTGCAGACGCTCAAAGCATATTTCAAAACGATCAAGATTTGCTTGAGAAGACACAAACGAATTCGAAGAGTTCAAAAACGCTTTGGGCGGCGGCGAAAGATAGATTAAAACTAAGGAAATCTCCGAACAGTTCGCCTCGTTTAAGACGAAAAGAAAAAGACGAAGTTGAAGCTCAAAATGGAAGTAACTCTGGGCAAACGGATGGCACAAATGTAAACGCTTCGAACTCCGAAGAGAAGAAAGACAATGAACCAAGCAAGCGAAGGTTATCTCGAGAAGAACTCAATCGACTGAAATTCTCCCGAGACTTTGCAAAAGAAGACGTCCTTGCTAAAAGAAAAGTTTCAATTGATTCGTCTACTCGAGGACAACTTCGCAAAAATGGCGTCCATAGTAGTCTTCTAAGCATCACTAGTAGTTTGTATTCCACAGACCTTGATCTAGATGATAGTGGTAGCTGGCACAGCGAGTTGGATGGCAGTGAATCTAGCAGGACGAGTAATAGGAAGCGATGGGAAAGCTTTCATAGTAATGTCAGTGCTGATAGTGGCTCTGCTCATATGTATGAGTTTGAAAGCGATTCATTAGCGGCAGAAATGGAGGATGGAAATCAGGAAACTAATGATTCCAAGGAAGCAGGTAATTTGAACTCTTATATGATTTACATTACTATAACTAGTGAACAGAGTAAATGGGTTCCACTCTCCGCCAATAGAAAACCTCAACAATATAAGCCTTGGTTTAATCCAATGATATGGCACACTTACCATTCATGACACTTGAATAATGAGTTCCACTCTCCGCCAATAAAAAACCTCTACAATAGAAGCCTTGGTTTAATCCAATGACATCGCTTTGTTAAGCCACACCTAAATGACTTCAAAATTCATATGTAATTTGTCTTTTACAGAAAATAGAAAAAAGGGTGACGTAGAAGTAGCAAGAACAGATAGCGGAATTGGAGGAGACATGGGTATAGATCATAATTACAAACGCAACTGGGAAGACATTGTACTGAAGAGTTCTAGGCATTGGTCTGTAGTAGCTGCGACTGCACGTCATTGGCAAGACTTGGCCAGGAGGAATAAACAACCACAGGAAATTGCGAGCAAAAAGATGAAACATATAGCACCGGCTATTACTGAAGATATGGTAAGTAGCAGAACCAGAGGAAGGTACTATAGAGGCTTTACACCATCACGTGACGACTTTCATGTTAGATACAATCGTTTTACAGGAGGAAAAGTGCAATTCCTGAGAGCAAAGAGATTTTATTGTTTTGCCATCAAACCACTAACCACTGTTTTTGAAAAAAAATYATTGTACTATCAGAAAACCGCATTTATTTTCGTTTTCACCATTTTAAAACCTATAGTGTTGTTTTTTAGGTTGAATGTACTGATTGCCAGAAGTTCTTTGTTCCCGAAGACAAAAGGTTAGTCCGTATCTTGTATACACTCGCTTGCCGGTTAAATAGCGCTGATCATCGATCGGATGAGTGCAAGTTCTGAAACAGATTATCATTGCGTATTGTCTTCCTATTTCTAGCGGGCAGGATGTGTCAAAGGAATGCTCGAACACAACAGTCGCATCAATATGTACTAAATGCAAAAAACGAGGTGTTGAGAGGAAAGAGGCGATCATCGAGCTTGTGCAGACAGAAATTAACTACGGGAATGATTTGCAAATTCTCAAAGAGGTAACAAAAAATGACAACTTGAAAGCACTGGTCAACGGGTCAACGCTAGATTTTGCTTCTTTCACTTCGCATTTTTTTTTTTTACAGTGAAACCTCTAAATACTAAATACTAAATACTAAATACTAAAAGTAACTGATTATCCCTCTCCTTCCTATCGAATATTTTTAGTACGATGACGAACCACTGCCGTGGAATATTTTTGCAAATTATTTTATTATAAAAAAAGCTAGATTGCAAGCTCCATAACACTTTTTAAGGGTAATACCGCTGATCGCTCGTCCCTGTCTCCATTCCCCATTCCTGGTTATTCCCCATTCCCCATTCCCTGTTTTAGTAAAGTCCGTAATATACGGTGTCCGTAATATAGAGGTGTCCGTAATATAGAGGTGTCTCAAATATAGAAGTGTTCGCAATATAGAGGCGTCCGTAGCCGTAGATCGGGTCCCAGATATTTTCGATGAATATTTTCATATTTCTCCGCTACCACCATTTCTAGTGCCTGTACTTCATCACTCATATCTTTCTATTTACAGGAGTTTTATAGTCCACTGCAGTCGGGAGGTATCCTTCAGCCCGATAACTTGGCCGATATCTTCTTGAATCTACAGGTACTTAACCAGAAACAGTAGATATTTACTGAATCTTTCAATCAAGTACATTTAGTATATCTGTCTTTAATCTAGCTTTGGTAAATTTTAAATCAAGAGGACGTGATTTACTAGAAAGAGATTTGTCAAGAAAAAAGTTGAATATTCCGGAACATCGTACAAAAGAAATGTATGGCTGTTACACGTTTCAACCCCCTTGTTATGAGTTTCTGACGTAACCTAACGTCTCCTTCCTTACAGCTAAAAATATAAGAAACAAAGGTGGTGTAGTGGTAGTGCACGAGCTTGCCTCTCGAGTTCCTGAACTGCGCATCATATGATCAGATTTTGCATATTGGATCTTTTTTCTTGATTGTCTTCCTTGATTCTTACAGGAGTTGGTTGAAGTGAGCACCAAGTTTTCACGTCGCCTTCAGAATGGTCTAGAAGTTTCGGTATCCAAGGGAGACGAGGTCAGTCAATCTATGAAGTAAATGTTCTGAGAAAATTGGTTTACTAATCGAATCCAGCCAGTGCCGTGCCGTTTTTTATTTTTCCATAACCCGATCTTTTTTCCTTTTTTTTATTTGATAGGAATTCTCTGACGTCAATGTTGGTAGTATTTTCCTGGAAAGTGTTGATCTTTTCCAGTCATACGAGATTTATTGCTCAAAACAGGTACAGTTCGTCATTTCCTCTCTTCTAATATGGCGATTCAATTTCAACTCGTTCTCTGCATTTTGTTAACCAAATGCTTCTGAACTTCATTATTTTGTTTGCTTTTTTTCAGAACTCTGCATCAGTTCTTCTCGAATCTTTACAAAAGAAGAACGAGTTACTGAAGATCTTCTTAAATGTAAGAATGTTTGCCATCTTATTCCATCTCATGAGTCAGCTTTTTTYACCTCAAACAACAGTTTGTACCGTTAGCAAAGAAAACTTTCCTATAAAAGGTTGTCATGTATAAACCTCTTGGGCATAATGTTTTACCATAATGGTTTCCCATTTCAAACCACGCGTCATTCCCTTGAGTATCATTTCTTTGTTTAACGGTTGCGTATGAGAGGACACATGAATATTGATACAACTCAAACAAATAATCTCATTCTTTATCAAATTGAGCTGATCCTCGCAGTATATCAAGCAACTTATGCAGCTGCAAATTGAAAGGGAACGGGATTTGAACCTGTGCCTTGGTGATTCCGGTGCCATGCTCTAACCATGCACTGAGCTACCAAGTCTCATATGAGACTTACAAGGACACATAATATGAGTTTATCGGCCCGATAAGGGTATGACACGTGGTTCGAAATGGAAAAACATTACGTCGAAAGTAGAGAATTTTATAAATACTTACAAACTTGTTTTTGAGTATGAACTCATTAAGGGTTTATTTGCCATTGTATCTATATATAGGTCACATGCAGAGAAAACCCCAAGTGCCGTAAGATGGACCTCAACTCTTTCCTCTTGGCTCCTGTACAAAGAATCATGAAGTGAGTACAATGAACACGATATACTCCATTAGCCATTCCTAGATTGAGAAGAAACTGGGTCGAGATGGTATTGCAGTGCATTGTGGGTCTGTTTTAGGGGACGAATTCGACGCCATCTTGGAAACTAAATATGTTCCTTAAAACAGCCCAAAAAATGCCAACTCGTCTTCAAACTCTAGTCCTGTGAATTCAATCATTGAACAAATGAATGTCAGTGGACAAGTGGCTAACTCTATCGAGATGCTACCGTTAAAATGACATCTTGAATACCTCTAACGTTTTTTATTGTTGGTGTTATAGATATCCTTTGCTTTTGAGTCGCATTCGCAAATCAACCCCTCGTCGTAACTCGGACAGAGAAAAACTGATGCAAGCACAAAAGAAGATTGAAGATCAGCTCAGTAGGATCAATGCTGTATGTAGAAGTGCTAGCCATTATCCTCCCATTCATCCATCCATCCATCCATCCATCCATCCATCCATCCATCCATCCATCCATCCATCNCCATCCATCCATCCATCCATCCATCCATCCATCCCTCCTTCCATTCATTCATTTAGTAGTCCATGTTCTTTCTTTCGTTTACCATTGCTACCAATACATTTATGTCGTATTTTCTTTTCTCCATTCCTTTGTCCCATCCTATTCCATCCAAACATATTTCTCTATCCATCCATTCATTCTATCCACTCATCCCGTCTCACCTCCATTTATTACGATATAGAGAGGATATTACATGGGCGCGTGGAGATACGAATTTTATCTTCGAGTGTTCAATTGATATCTAAATTGAACACGAGAAGATAAAATTCGTATCTCCAAGCGGCCATGTAATGTTCTCACAGTGTCTATTATATAGATATCGATAAAACTTAAATAAAACAAAAGCTCAAAAATTCTTGATTAAAATACGTTACTATGTCAACAGCAATATCTTCACGTGTGAAAGACATGGTATCTTCCACTGGTGAAAGATATCAAGTTTTCGACACCAGAGAAAACCTGGTATTTCATCGATATCTATATAATAAATCTTTCTATTGTTTCCATCCCGTCCATCCATTTCATTCACACGCCTATTAGTAATGACAATGATATCTATTTTACATAGCGCCGGCTCTTTTCCATATGCATATGATCAAAGGTACTTTACAATGAATTGTGAACGAGAGTTGGTTAGTATGAGATGTAGGCACTGAGGGTTGTCACTGCCAGGGTTTCTTCATACGTCCTCAGTGGTTCTTTTGCGTCATTCCATTATTGGTTGGTAATGATGAAGTGGCTATCACTGGCTATCCTTCGACCAAATCACTCACATAACCGTACTCATACTTTCTTCCATATAAGTGCAAACATTGAATTACTGATTTTATCTTCCTCAGCTGAATTCTTCTGTCGAAACGAAGCAGCGTCGATACCGGGGCAGTAGTCATCTCGGGAGGTCAGACTCGTTAGACAAACTCCAGATGAAAAAGATGGCAAGTGATATCCTCAACTGGACCTTGAGTGAATTACACTTATTGATGCATGGGGTTTTCGAGGTGAGTTGTCGTTCTTCGCTAAGCACCTTGCTCTAAATTGGGCCTCGGGCTTCCTGCGCTGATCCAGCGCTAGGGACAAGTGTTCTGGTCCAGTAAATCTAGATTTTTTTTTCAAAAACAAAACAGTTGTCCAAGCAGTAGGGTCATCCGTAGACTTACTGACTGTGTAACTTACTACTAGCTCAGTGAGTTCAACAATCTCTCGCTTCGCTCCAATGAAAGACTTGGGGGGAGAGATGTTCACTTGGGGCCTAGAGTCTACTGAGGTCGTCCGTCCTCATATAAAACAGCACGAAAATTCAGATTTTTTTTTTGATTACCTCCATCGCTAGTATCTTTATATCGGAAGCTCAGCTATTACTGATCATCAAAAGTCATACTTTATGTGTCAGAGTTTGGCAAATCAAACAGATAGCAAAACGAACCTCAAGCTTTGCATGCGACGCGGTATTATCATCATACACAGACGAATTTCCTTTTTCTTGCTGTTTAATGCGAATGTGAGCTAGAAACATAAGCAAGAAGTAACAAAAATATTTCACATAGCAGACATTTTGATTAGGATTTTATTATTATTATTAATTTTTACTTAAAAGAAAAATCCCCCCTCCCCTCCCCCCTATTATTCTTGCATTCAAGATCTTTAGAACCAAGGTCTAAGTATCCACGTACATGTTTGTTGTTTCTTCAGGTTGTGATTTACGAGTTTGCATCGTCGGGAGGATGGAATCGTCGCGGTGGTAAAAGAGCCGCTGATGTGTTTATGCTCTTCTGCGTACGAGGACTTTCAGAGGTAAACAACATGAAAACATGCCTGAAAATGAATTTATGACTCTGTAATAATAGATTAGATAATCAACTTAGTCAACCCAGCAATAATAATAATAATATTAAAGCAGAATAATGATAAAGATGAGTGTTTTGGGAATCCTGTAGACGCGCGCGGAGATTGAATCGCTTAAACGGCTCCAATCTACGCGCGGCCACAGGAATCCCAAAACGATTTCTTTTACTGAGCTTGCAGTCTAAATGACGCGGGCTGTGGAGGAGACTAAAAAAGCCTATGAGTGCTTGTATTCTTTAGGACGATAATAACAATATAACTCGTATTTTCTATAATTTCAGCTTAAAACAATTGATTCAGACGAAGACAACACGTTGGAAGAGCCGTTCTTTCCTTCTGATAGCGAGGCGACAGATGCAGCACTTGTCATGCTTAGGAAGAAAATGAATGGGAAATACACTCTGTTTAAGGTACAGGATCACATCAATAGAGTAAAATAGAAGGAAATACACTCTGTTTAAGGTATAGGATTACACCAATAGAGTAAAATAGTAATAAAATAAAATAAGATAAAATACGAAATATATTTAAAAGTCTAGACTCTAGATTCCTCTTCAGTGTCTCTTACTCATTGGATCATCGATATCGTTGAGTCACTTTGAAATTTAAAAATGCTGTTTTACATTTATCTGTTTACGACATAGTTAATGGAGATTAACTATGGTTTACGAAGATGATTCGATTAATTGGAGATATTTTTCTTCGCAGGAGCCGCTATCACTTGACACCTGTATCATATGTAAAGACTCTGGTGAGTTACATGCTCTTATCGGATCATGTCATATATCTGATGACCTCTGATCGGATCCCGAATTACGCGCTATTTTTTATCGAAATCCCGCGTCCCCCCATATATTTTATTTATTAATGTTTTTTATGCTTTTCCGGGAAAGCAAATCCCACATCCCAGACATTGAATTCGGCAATTCCCGAGTCACGGCGCCCGATGCCAGCATCCCGGATCCGAAGCTATATCTTACCTATTTTTATTCTCTTGGGAATGCCCGCAAGATGCCATCGAAAATCACACCAGTGTTTAATGGAATGGAATTTAAACACTTTTTTWAAATTTCAGAGCACAAAGATTGCTTTGAAATCATCAACATGTCACGTGAGACATACGTCTTCAAAGCAAACGGCAGCAAAGAGAGCAAAAAATGGCTGAAACATTTACGACTACAGGCCAAAGACTTGGGCATGTGGAAGAAACGAAGAAATGGTCTGCCTAATATCATGATTAAAAACATCTAAATATCGATCGTCTTCAACACAGGAAACCCAAACGAAGGAATAAAAAATGGCTGAAAGATTTACGACTGCAGGCCATAGAGTCAGGCATGTGGAAAAAACGAAGAAATGGTCTGCCTAATATCAAGATCAAAAACATCTAAATATCGATGGTGTTCACCACAGGAAGCCCAAACAAGAGAATAAAAAATGGTTGAAATATTTACGACTACAGACCAAAGACTTTTGTTAAATATGTTGATCAAAAACAAATACAAATATCAAATGCAAATATCACGTTAACCACAGGAAGCCCATGCAGGTACTTTTGTACCCAAGTCGAAGGGATGGGTTTTCTGTGTGTTAATTWAAAAATAAACATGCTGTAAAGAATAATGTATTACAAAAATGACAATCAGTATTTAAGGCATGCGACTGAAATAACGTATCACAATCAAACCGGTTTCTTGTGAATAGAGGCTTTGCACAATCACGTGCTGGTGCCCATAATACAGCCGGGCTGCCTGTGGTTAGATGGCAGAATAATAAATCCCTTTGCTCTTGGGAATTAAATTTTTTCATGTAAAACGATTGCATTGTTCCTGCCATCTAACATGGCTGCCGCCACGCCTCTATTGTTGCTGGGTCTAGAGATTGACACTTCGTTCCCACCACGAGCACGGATAACTAAACAAGATGGCGGCCAAACAAGGAAGGACATTGGATAGAGAAATTAAAACCAAAGAAGTTAGTTCGCGTGAACGGAGAATAAGTTGGGTAATATCACAAAGTAAACACACCTTGACTTGGGGGAGGGGGAGGTGACTGCGGGCCCTAAAACTAAAGTTAAGTATCTATATACGGCCACTTACACGAAGAAGGCCCCTTTGCAGTACGATAATCCTTTTCTCTATGAGGAAAGAAAACAGTTCTAAGTATGGTCCCAAGCACCAGGAAGACCAGATAAATGGGCCGTAATGGTTCAACGCTCATGCTGTACACATCGAGGTACGTCACGTAGACTCAAAGAATATAGAGGACAAGCGTCGAACAAAAACATTGTACAATAATTATATTAGCTATTCCGAAGCTGTGGAAAAAAACGGGCTCGATTTGGCGAATGTTTGGGTGTTAAACAATAGGTAGTTTTCCCAATGGAATACAAATGTCCGACCAACAAACTCGAATTCATAAGATTTTTAAAATTAGTTATCAATAGTTTTTCATAATGTACCTTTAGAATGGATTGATTCTAAGACAGCCATTTACAATTTTCAGCAATCAGTGTCCATGTTCCATGCTGTATATCAAAAACATATCTTAGCTTGTCCGACATAGCAACCGTAACTAGGGAGGTAGAATAATTAAAGCGGGATGGATGTATTTCTCGCGGCCGAGTAACAGAAGACACACATATAATAAAAGTTCTGTTTATTTCATAACTAAAATACAAAATATACTATTAAACTTTTCTTTTACTACATCAATCAATCACCAAAATTTAAAAAAAAAAAAAGAATTTGCTGCATATTATTCACATTATCTAACAGGAAAAAWATTTACGGAATGGAATTACGTCATTTCTGAATGAGTACTAGTAATGTCATGTCATTTTCTTCTAGCTAGTCCAAAACAAAGTAGGCATTCCAGTCAGGGAAATACAAATCCATGTTGAAATATTAACTTCAGCATACAATTGCTAAAGACTTCGCCTTTCCAAAGATGTATGGAAAATTGTACATAAAGTAATACAGTCTGTAAACCTTAATCTTGCAAAAGGAGCAAAAAAAGTTAAAGAAAAGACTGGTCTACAAAAAAAATATCATTATAATTTCAGGTATTTTATTAGGATAAGATTTCAGGATTTTTTTGAACCCTGAAACAACTTCTAGGCTGACGTAAGTCAGGCACGGCTAATTCAAGGTCGAATAGACCGTTTTCTCAAGGTTGCGTGCGCATCCAACTTGACAACCACAAAACTGAAAAACGCAAATTCAGTAAAATTGAGAAGCCAGTTTTATGTTTAAAGAGGAGAATAATCGATTTTATGAATTCTTATCGGAAAAAAAAATCCATAGCGATGTATGATAATACTCGTGTTCTGGTATCGTGGCCCGTCAAGTTCCTTTAATTTGGATGCGTACGCAACCTTGAGAAAACGGTCAATTGCAATTTAGGAACAAAAACAAAACGATTGATAAAAAGTTTACATTACTATTCAAAGGAGGTTCCAGTGCTAGCCCAGAAACCTTTGATCTAAATATCTCAGTCGGAAACACCAATACGTCACTTCAGTGTATTTTTTTCGAAATAGGAGTTTTTTTATTTTGTATGATTTTGAGTAATTCTAGGAATTTCTTTACATTTTAAATTTTCATTTCGAACGGATTAAAACTGTGACGGAATACTTTTCGTTGAATGGACTACTTCAATGATACGGCGGCCATCTTGGATCGCAAGAAGTTGTGGGACGTTCAGGGGGGAATAAAGCTATGTTACAGTAAAAACGTCGGCGCTTGCTATTAACATCTCACCACAAGAGAATGCAAAAAATGAATTAAGACGGCACATTGATCACCTTTACCCATAAAAGAAAGGCAAAAACACGAAACTCTATATATTTCCCGTCATCTTTGTTTTGTTTTGACCCCTGGCAAAATGGCCGCCGTATCGTCGAAGTAGTTCATTAACCAAATCGCTTGTTAAATCTCTTAAAAATTTGATTTGATAGTCTAACCGTAGCATTTTCCACAGTTGACTTATAAATTGTTGGGTTTCAAAACAATGGACCTTTATCTCGCGGTAGCCATGTTGAAAGAAGCCTCGCATTCAAGCGCTTCAGAAAGAGGTTACGTGTGATAAGACAAAGTTTTTCATTCTCATGGGAATAAACATAGCTGCCGTGTGATAAAGGTCCATATCTCTATGTATCAAATTCAACCGATCACCATGGCAACTAGATTTCTATGGCAACCAAGTGACTTATTTTGATTTCATATTTTCTAATCTTTATCGTGTGTACTTGCATTGACTTCAGGAGGCTCTATCTCTTAGATTTACCAGTCATAGTTTCTATGGCAACCAAGTGACGTCACGTGGCGCCGTTGGTAGTCTTGTGTTCTACAGGGGGTGGTTTACTGGTGATATTAGATGGATTGTTAGGTCCCATGGTCAGGTAACCAGCGGCTCCCATAGACCCTGTTAGATAGCCCGCGATGGGCCTGTCTGAAATGAAGAGGTCGTGTTTCTGGTCCCGGTATGACGCCCATATTGACGACGCTTCGAGAATCTTGTTTACCTGGGGAATTATGCCATACAGAGGAATAGTAAGTAGGAGTAAAACTATTGGCAATAGACCGTTTTCGAATTGGTCAAATATCGCTGTGTTCCTTGAACACAGACTCACTCAGGTCTAGCCTTATTTCAGTGCCTAAATATTCACAAATACTAACGATAAAGTAAAGAATGCACAACTTCAACAATACAAACACTTTGAAATTCCACGGACCTTGACTGAAATGCATGAATATTCAAAGAAATTCCATACGAAATCGAAGCTAATTTGAAATTGAATCATAAGTATCCATTAAAATTAGTTAGCCCCTCTTACCTCCTCGCCATGTGTCAAGTCTCTGGTCATGGCCTTCAACGCCTTGACTATCTGTGCTTTAGTAGCAGCAGGGTTCTCACTTCCTTCTAGTTTACCGTCCAGTAAATTGAGTAGATATTTCACCAAGTCGAACTTCACAGCCTAAAAAAAACCATACAACAGCATCAACAAACAGCTCTGCTCAATAGTACAATACAATTTTAACATACAATTGATGGGTTGCAACATTCCCTCTTACCTTTACTAACATGCATCACATGTGAGTAGAGTTTGTTGAGTCTCTCTCTTGATTCGAGGGTTTTCCCCCATTCGAATTTGAATTTGCTTCAGGTTTTAATCTGTGAGTTAGCCATGCCCTAACTTAGATCATCCCAGGAGTGTTTTAGAATTATATCTGTGATTTAGCCGTGTCCTGACTTAGATCAGCCCAGAGGTTGTTCAGAATATCGATAAAAACTTCAATATAAAGACTCGCGCCTCGGTAAATATTCCCCGATATTCAGTCTGCCTTCGGCGAATAGTTGTTTTAGTATTTTTGACGCAAGTGAATTTAATACATACGGAGAGAGAGTTTTGTTGTTTTTCCCCCCAAATTTTATTTATTTCTGCAAGCGGCACCAATCGACAAACGAACGTCCGCGAAGGTGAATATAGCAGCATATGACGTAAATTGTGACCAATGAGCGCGCCGGATTTATTATATTCACTTATGTAAAAATGCTAAATTCTATTATGACCTAATACTATGGGTTACCTGTGCTACCAGTTCGGTATGGTTCTTCTCAAACATCTTGTACAAAGCTTCACATACTAGATTAGCGACATCGGGTCTTGATTCCATGGCCTTGATCATGTAACTGATACCATCATTGGTGGCGGCCATGCTACGCACACATATCTATACAAACAAACACACAACACTTATATCACTCTACTATACCATATATACACTGAAACTATATGCATGGCTATGATAATTGGGATACTTTAGATGTGACATGCTAAATAGTTTCCTCTCCTATCAACAATAAAGTATGCTACACTTTGACATGTTGGCTGATTGAGTATGTTTTGAATTTGTGTATCTGAGCTTAGCAGTAACGAGACCGTTGCAACAAGATATAGAGAACCCAGATATTGCTATCACTAACAGTCTCCTGTAGGTCGGTGATAGAGTATTGGACTACTTCGACCATACGGCGGCCATTTTGCCAGAAGGCAAAACAAAACAAAGATGGAATATATATCTTGAGTATTGTGTGTTTTTCTTTCTTTTATGGGTAAAGGTGATCGATGTGCCGTCCTAATCCTTGTGTAACAAAGCATAATTTCCCCCCTGGACGCCCCATAATGCCTTGCGATCCAAGATGGCCGCCGAATTGTCAAAGTAGACCATTCCCATAAGGGACTTTTTTTTCCGAGTTCCCCTACTTTCGCTGTGGCACCCTGAATATTTTCATCTCCTAACAAAGGGATGTTCTTATGTAACAAATCATCTAATGTCTCAATGCCTGTGTGACTCAGGGGAGTTGACGATAGTAGAATGTAGTAGGATGAAGGGTATGAATCTGCTAGATATAGTGTTACATCAAAAGGCCAGCAGTTGCTTTACTGCCAAACATTTACAAACGTTTTTAGAGCAATGGCGAGGCAACACCTTCTCCTCAGATATATCTTATATATATTTTGGACTGATCGGGGCTTGAATCCACGAACTTGCGTATAACAATCCGATGCTCAACCAACTGAGCTAACGGTTGTGGCTATCTGTTTCTGTAGAGTCCTTACCTCATTATCAGACAGAACATGGATGACTTGTACTGCTGATTTAGGTACTCCATTGTTTGATGAACCCATGCTCTTGAATATAGCGGGAATGTGACCCAGACCAGGAATCTATGAAACAATTGAGAAAGAATAACCAACCATAAGAAAAACAAACAAATAAATAAACAACAAACCAACCAACAAACAAACAGAAAGAAAAATAAGCAAAAACTAGCAAACAAAAAACGATCAAGAAAACAAACAAACAAAAACGATAAAAGAGAGACAAAAAAAAAACACAAACAAAAGACAAAAACGAACAAACAAACCAAACAAACAAATAAAAAACAAACATAAACAAACAAGCAATCAAACAAGCGGCAGTCAAACAAACAAAAACAAGCAAACAAAAAACGATCAAGAAAACAAACAATCAAACAAAGACGATAAAACAAACACAGACAAACACGAACAAAAGACAAAAAACAAACAGAGACAAAAAATACACAAAAAATTAAAAAGAGCCATATTGCCCCTAATGCCTAATCACAGACCTTATGTAAGTTGAAGATATATTCATAAAAATGCGAAAATCCAAAAAATTTTCGAAATTGGATGCATTCCTAATTTTTAAATGAGTTTTGAAAACGCGCCTTTTCATATAAGGACCGCGCGTAAGGGGGACAGGTGCGATTACGTCATCGGGGTGATACGTTCCAAAAGTGAAAGACTTGCGCATTCTTCCAAGTTGGATTCACTCGTACGATAAGTAAAAGCTCAATATTTCGGCATTTTTTCTTTCTTAAAACTTTTAAAAACAGCACTCTTGACCCACAAAAAAATTGGTGTATCACCCCGATGAAATTTCGAGAGTGAGCGGACACGAGAATTTTGCCAACTTTTTTGTGCCGTAAAAAATCAGGAATTCGTTTGAAACGAAATTTTTTTTGAAAAACGCGTTTATGACAATGTGAGGATTTGTTCTAAATTGTTCTGTAATCAGGCATTAGAGGCACTTAAAGACTAGAAAGATTTAACAGGCTCCCAATACATAGCCAAGTATCTTACCTGATCTGCCAAAGTTGGCTGGGCGGTAAACAGACAAAGAACAGCTTGAGTAATAGTCTCCAAGTACTGACTCTGTTCAAAAAAACATTCATTCAATCATTAAAAATATTCGAAATACTTGATGCCAGTTCCAATTTCGACTTACATCTGGACTCGTTTTGTTGACTGTTTCTACGAATTTCTCCAGCAGAGCGTGTAAAAATTCTTTAGGATTACGTAACACCTAGAAAGGAATAAACAAGATGACGTGTAAACACATTTACTCACATTTACTCCGACGAAGGACTAACGTCCGAAACGTCAGTTTCTAAACATCACAAACCATAAGGTGTATTAAGTTAAATCAATTCTCCTGACGTGTAAACAGATCGACCAAAGGAAACCTGTGAATTCCGACCATAATTAATCGATGATGTAACACGATGACATGAACTATCAACCATCAACCGATAAAGAAACGACCAACCATTAACCGACCACCGACCATGAATGGTGGATTTAAAAGAGGCTTTGTACCATCACGTGATGGCGGCCATGACAGGAGGCACAACAATAGAGTTGTTCTCCCCTGCGAAACTGAATTCTTTCTCATTTAAATTAGATTAGACCAGATTCAATTGTTTCTGCCTCCTGTCATGGCTGCCATCAAGTGATGGTGCAAAGCCTCTATAGTGGCATGTATACAGAGTAGCTCTTCATTGAATTCCAAATGAAATTAAGAAGTTGATTTTTGCGGAGGGAAGAAAACCGGAGAACCCGGAAAACCCTCGAAGCACAGGAGAGAACTACTACTCTTTCCAGTAGACCGAAGCAGTTGTAATTTTTTATATCACCTTCGTAGCGTCTGTTATGTTAACCGCAAGTGCATTTCAAACCGTCCACGTGATGCCAATGTTGTGCCACACCACATTTTTTTACATCACGTGATAAAAACTCGACTGCATTTTGGTCACGTGGTGTAGAAAAACTTGGCATCACGTGGTCGATTGAAATGCACTTGCGGTTAACATAAAAGATGCTACGAAGGCGATAAAAAATCACAACTCGGTGTACTAGGAAGAGTATTAGCAAGCAAGAATCATTCAAAGAACTCGAAAAATCGAACAACCGATTAACAATCCACTGGACAGTCAATCATCGCCATCAAAAGGTCGCCTGTTGGAACAGACTGATCAACCAATCATCTCTTGTTGCCAAGGAAACCTACAAAGTTAACTTACCCAAGCAGGTTGTTGTATGAAGAGACGTAAATAAACACCACCAATAGTGAGCTCGCCTTCTGCTTCATTGAACTTCACTGTAAAGTCATCAGGAAGCTGGAAAAATACACACAAGAAAATCGTCTCACTCCCTGTCTGTTAGAGTCAAAAGGGCTATATAATAATAATAATAATAATAATAATAATAATAATAATAATAATAATAATNTAATAATAATAATAATGGTTTAATCAATAGAATCCACGAGGTGGCTCTTCTCCTATTAATAAAACTATCTAATTTACAATAACATACACACAAGATAAATTTACGATAAACTATGAAGTTATAAAATAAATTAGACATAATAAGAAATAAGATTGACATAATTACTATTGGATTATTCTAAGCTAGACAATTATTATACATAAATAAAAAGGACAAAAACTGAAGATACTGGGGCTACGCGCACCGCCCCCAAGCAACCACCCCAGGTCGAGATATTCGGGGCAACAGACAAAGAGAAAACTGTYCAAAATGCCACGACCCAATAATTGCCCAGGGTATATTTCTCCTTTGGGATACCTTAGTACATTAGTTATAGAAGACAACATTGCTTTCGTCAAAAAAAGATATCGAAATAAGTGAACTTCCAAAATTTTCAGTGCAGTAACATTAAACGATAAAAAGCTACAGCTGTTTGAAATTAGAAAGGTTTGTATGGAAGCAACAACCAAGGGCCTACCAGCCTTACTATCATGCTTTCGTTACATTTCAAATGCTTATAACTCTGCAGGGATTTAATATATGAAAACACAACTCTCCAAAATTACTAATTTAGACATGGTCTTTCTAATGAAAATATATTTTTGAAATCATTAATTGTTCGTGGTGCTCGTTCCCAGTCTTCCTTTTTTTCATGGCCAATCTATTACGAAATCATCAAACTCATTAGCATATTGGAAGTATAAACCTTTATATCTTCAAGACACATCACTCAAATATCATTCAACTATTCACTCCACGTAGAATCAATACTGCGAATATTGAGTTAGGTGTTATAGGCACACTAACTCAACAGTAATCACTGATAGTTTCTGGTTAATAAATTACATCAGTTGAACATACTTTCCATTGGATGTCCAGATTCTCCCTCTGATTGTGATAATGTCTGGAATAAAGTGATCAATCAAAAGAAGGTTAAGCCAATTTTTTACATATAACGCGGGGAGTGGCGAGAAGAGTCACAAGAACTATGGAACCAAATGCAAATTGTGAACTAATGCAATATCCTGTATTATATAAAATAACTATTATAGATCTCGCATTCTGATTGGTTATGAGCGCGTGCTTCTATGATAGCACACAGTACACGCGCGCACTTTCAGCTTCGTCATTCCTATCTAAAATAACGGTCATTGTAATTTATTCTATGAAAGAAAAAAGCTTGCTTGCTGTGCTGTGTG